CCCCCCCCCCAGCAGGAATAGGGTTAAAAGCAAAAGTCACACCTTGAAATCGTAAAATTTTAAGAGTTTGAGGTCGTCTTTACAGCGGATAACTCTGTATATGCTTAACATTTGTCAACATTATAGAGTGAGAAAGATGTGGGCGGCTGTGTGAATAAATTTACTGAAAAATTTACAACTTTTTTTCTGTATTTAATTTATCCCCAAATAATAGAATATTACATATACTGAATTATTGGATAATTTTATCAAAATGATATAGTTTTTTATTTCTGTTTGCTTTGCTAACTATTGTCTTAATGTATTTGGTACACCTTGTTATTTCCGAAAACTTTATTTGATTTTGATTTTAAAATAACTTATAGTAACAGGTTTCAAAGAAATAAAAGTTAAGAATCCACTATGTAATGTGTAATATTTTCCCTAAAATAAAAAAACAAACATATATTATTTAGTTCGATCAAGTGTGGAGCAAGCTGTATTAAATATATCCTTGGATAAGCCAACCCTTCACTATGTTCACACCAGGTAAATAATTATTTTTCTTACTTTTTGTTCACTTTCAAAACGTGCCAGACAGGCTGCATTAAAGTTTAGGCTTTGGCCTTGTACAAGCCTGATGGATCAAGGAACTACACTTAGAACGCCCAATTCAAATGTACGCAAATTATGATCTGTACTGTCTGAGAGTAATATAAACGAAATTAGTCATCCCACAATTTTACGATTGTATCCCGGAGATCTTGACGCCNAACCTGAGATGAGATTTTAAAAGCTTAAACCCGACTAAAACCCGGTCTTTGCGTCTGCTTAGACCCAAGTAAAGCTCAAGTCAAAACCCGGGTTTTTGGATGGCCTTGAGTCTAGTAAGAACCAACCATCTTGGGGTTTACTCTCTTTAAGGCTCGAGACTTCAGCAGCTGATGATTGTAAATTTCGTAAAATCTTTTATATTTGTACGTTTAAAATCTCGGGAATTATTTGAGGTGTCAAATTTTATTAATTATATAAAATAAACATACTATGAAAAATATTTATCTACATAAAGTTTGAATTTTCTAAATTTACATCTCCTTGTTACAGCTAATCTGACGGCATTATGTCTGCTACAGAAAGAAAGCTTGCAAAACAGTCTCTCATTGGTCGAATCAGAACCAATCCTGACTTGGGTTCTATCTAAGCCCGGGTTTGGGTTTTAGTCGGGTTTAAGCTTTTAAAATCTCATCTCAGGATTCTTTGTCAGTACACAGATTTGACGCATCAGATAAGGCGGTTCCTCTTTATTTATATTTTTTGGGAGGATTATCAAAATTGGGAAAAGTGGGAAATTCACAAATGCCTAGGCATTTGGGAAATTTTACTCCTTTCCACCCCCTCTCTCCCTACTTTACTCATTTCCACCCTGTTCCCTCCCTATTTTACCCATTTCCACCCCGATCCTTCCCTATTTTACTCATTTCCACCCCGCTCCTTCCCTATTTTACTCATTTCCACCCCGTTCCCTCCCTATTTTACTCATTTCCACCCCGCTCCTTCCCTATTTTACTCATTTCCACCCCGTTCCCTCCCTAATTTACTCATTTCCACCCCGCTCCTTCCCTATTTTACTCATTTCCACCCCGTTCCCTCCCTATTTTACTCATTTCCACCCCACTCCTTCCCTATTTTACTCATTTCCACCCCGCTCCTTCCCTATTTCACATTTTACTTTTTCCCTTTACAAAAGAAATATTCAGATGCTGGATTATTGGAAAATGTTTTGACATAAAATTATGTTACTGGGTCGAATTTTAAGCGTTGCAGCGCCTTGTCCTTTGATTTTGCCTCCCTATAGCTCAAGTATACATTTTTAAAGAATGTATATTTCAAAACTGCGCTGTATTTATTTCCTTTATCTAAAAAATAAAATCGAAAAGAGCACCATTTCATCGGTGCGAAAAGGGTTCAAACTCAAGAATTTTATATTTTATAAATTTATGCTACACCGCTGAAAAGTGCAAAGGTATTATAATAAGAAATATAAAGAAGAATGTTCCTTTTTCCAAGTTTGAAACCTAAAATATAATTTTTCCAATATACTTTATATTCCAACCAATAAATCAAAAAATAAGTATCTTATATCTTTACTGAAACTCTCAAATATTGTTAAGTCAAGTAAATCTTTAAAAGACAAGTTCATTTTATATGATAATAAAACTACAATTTAGGTTTTACAGTTTTAAAATAAAATGCATTCGTAGTCTTTTTTGTTATTTTGATTTCTTATAATTTAGGATTTTAAGTTTTCAAAAATAGAATTCCCGATAAAATATTTTTTCTAAATCTAGACTGATGAATCTGAGAGTGTTGATGGTAGCTGGGAACCCTGTACATGTTTATGTCAAATCTGGAAAACTTGAACATCTATACCTCAGCCAAGAAAAGGTATTTTACATTTAGATTTTAATTTTTTAATATTGTCTTTCTGGTAGTCAGTTTTGTGCGAGCGCCGGATTACAAAAAAATACAGGGATCGCCGCGTGTGCAAGAATTAGGGTTGTTAATCGTTTTTGAAAACGATCGTTAAACGATCGTTAAACGATAGTTTTTTGTTTCGTTTTCAAAAACGATCGTTTCGTTTTCGGAAAAAAACGATCGTTTTTTAAAACGACCCACTCGTTTTGAACTTTTAGAAAACGAATAGCAATCGTTTCTGTAAACGATCGTTATTAAAACGATTTGCGACCGTTTTTTATACGATTGTTTTTAAAAAAAAACTATCGTTTTTGAAAAAACTATCGTTTTTGAAAAAGAATTTTATTGACAATTATGTTAACGATCGTTAACGAAGGGTCGTCGTCAACGATCATTAACGAAGGGTCGTCGTTAACGATCGTTAACGAAAGGTCGTCGTTAACGATCGTTAACGAAGGGTTGTCGTTAACGATCGTTAACGAAACGACGAACTTTATCAAAACGGTCGTTTTTGGAAAAAAATTACATCAACTTTATTGAATGTCGTCTTACACGAAGTTTAACAGTTGTGGGGGAGTTAAACTCCTTGATGTTTTCTTAAAAACTACTCAATGATAAGTACAGATGCCCTTCAGGTNACGAAAGGTCGTCGTTAACGATCGTTAACGAAGGGTCGTCGTTAACGATCGTTAACGAAACGACGAATTTTATAAAAACGATCATTTTGAAAAACGATCGTTTTGAAAAACGAGCGTTTTGAAAAACGAGCGTTTTGAAAAACGAGCGTTTTGAAAAACGATCGTTTTAAAAACGACCATTTTTAAAAAACGAACTTTTAAAAAAAACCATCGTTTTTAAAAACGATCGTTTCGTTTACGATTTTTTGTCGTCGTTTTCTTAACGAAACGATCGTTTTTCTGAAAAATGAAAACGTTAACATCCCTAGCAAGAATGTAACACCCTAACTATATGTTTAGGAAAGTAGGGATGGACGTTTTTCTACTTTTTAGAAATTGCCCTTTCCGTTCCATGAGTGCCTATAAAAGAACGATTGTTCCGCGTTCCTACATTTTAAACTTGTTTTTTTCCGTTCCATTCTGTTTATTCCTGTTTAGGAACGATCGTTCCCTAGGAACAACGTCCAACGCAAAGCGTAAGTTGGCATCCAAAACCAAACTTCACCCTAAACTAAGCGTTCGGTGGGTTCTCCAGTAATTTGCAGTACACTGGCCGAAGAAAAAGTATTGTTTAGTGGAGAGTGACTTGAACTAACCAGTGCGAAAGGACTGAGCATTTTATTCGTTTAAAAAACGACTTTGACCGGTTGGTTAACGTTGAAACTAAATGAATACGAACTTATTTAAATCTAAAAAATTGGTTAAACAACGTTTTTTTAATAAGATCGTTTTTTGCTTAAAAAAGAAAACAATAATTTTTCCTCTTAAAACTATCGTTTTGAACGTCATAAATTATCATCCATAATTTTCAAAGAAATAAAATACGCTTATACTTAATAGTCACTTTAATTATTTTCCTTTGAAAACTTTCTGTATTCGCCTGAAACCTTCAGTTTTCAACATATATTGGTCTGAATGCAAATAAAACTTTCATTTGCATAGGAAGAAACTGTTTACTCCAACATCCAGTGGTTAAAACTTTTAAACATGGCTACCTAAATAAAAATTTTTTTGATTAACTACCTTCAAGACCCAGCAATGCCTAGAAACTAAACGTTATCTAAAATATTCTAAAATCTTAATTTAAACATTTTAAACCAAGTTAAAAAGATTCTCCTGGTTTTAACATGTTCCACAGTCAAATAAGTCAAGGGGTCCTAAGTTATGATTGGACACACAAACAGATATTACAGCTATTTATGTAAAATAAAGATGATTGAATACTATAGAGATTAACCTAGATTAAGGTTTCTAGGTGAATCTGGCATTGCCATTTTCGCATGGAATGGTCATTTGAAAATACTCTATCCACAGACACACAATTTAATCCCGATATTTTGTATTTCTTATAGCTGGCGTTTTTGAGATCTAGGAAATCGGGAGATCTATTATATCTCTGAAACTTGCTAGATCTGCAAGGCGATGCGGTGTACATTTACAAGGAAACACTTTTTTAATAGTGAGAGCCTATTTATTTTTAAAAGTGTGTTTGATAGTGAGTACTAATTTATTTCTTTAAAGTGTGTTTAAAAGTGAGAACTAATCTATTTTTACAGTGAGTTTAATAGTGAGATCTTATTTATTTTTAATAGTGTTTTTAATATACAGAACTAATATGTTTTATACAGTGTGTGTAATAATGAGAAGGATTTGTTTACAGTGTGTTTAATAGTGAGATCTTATTTATTTTTTAAAGTGCGTTTAATAGCGAGATCTTACTTATTTTCCCCAGTGTTTTTAATAGTGAGAACTGTTCTATTTTTTTACAGTGTGTTCGATATTTTTGTTGTATTTAGGCTGAAGATGGAAACCTGATTCTTCTTCTTGCTTCCTTCTGTCTTGGTCTTCTAGGTCTCCTAGTCACGTGTCTGGTGAGCTATTTACTGCAGTCGTCGTCGTAAATTCATTTCTTTTACTTTTTTATCAGGAAGAAAATGTGCAAAATTGTAATCTCAAAAAGTTCAAATATCGAATCAAAATCCGAAACTTTTTTTTTACTTATTTATCGTTTTTATACATCTAAGACTTAGACCTATTATTTTTACTTTTATTCAAAGAGCCAGGAACTTTTGGTCATACAGTGTTCAGTGATAGAACAAAATAAGACTCACTTTTTATCTTTTAGATATTTATCTAGTGATAATAAATAACTGAGAGATAGTTAAAAAGTTTAGATATTTATCTAGTGATAATAAATAACTGAGAGATAGTTAAAAAGTTTAGATATTTATCTAGTGATAATAAATAATTGAGAGATAGTTAAAAAGTTTAGATATTTATCTTGTAATAATAAATAACTGAGAGATAGTTAAAAGGTTTGGATATTTATCTAGTAATGATAAATAACTGAGAGATAGTTAAAAAGTTTAGATATTTATCTAGTAATGATAAATAACTGAGAGATAGTTAAAAAGTTTAGATATTTATCTAGTATAATGATAAATAACTGAGAGATAGTTAAAAAGTTTAGATATTTATCTAGTAATAGTAAATTACCAGAGAGATAGTTAAAAAAATGTTATATATTTATCTATAAGTAATAATAAATAACTAGAGATAGTTAAAAAGTGTAGATATTTATCTAGTAATAATAAATGGCTAAGAGATAGTTATAAAAATTAAAAATTAATTTACATTTTCCTGGTTTTAAGAAAATATACTGAAAAAGACAGAAGCTTTATTTTTAAGTTTAACTTTGATTTTCTTCCATGTATTTTATCAGTTTATTTTGGTTAATGTGACATATATATTAATACAATTAAGACGACTATCGATTTAAATTTTGATTTCTACCAAGCTTTCAAACAGCATTGACATAAGCATGAAAATAAAGAGAAACTCTCAATTTTACAGCTTCTATTTGTTTGGTTTTAGGCTTGTTAACCCTATCCCCGCTGGGGTACTTGAAAACCAGGATACGCTGGGGGGGGGTCAATTTGACCCCCCCTCTAAATCCCATGTTTTATGTCCAAATATGACAAATGATACATCATTAGAAAGCTCTTGTGCTCTACTTTTAGAATCTGCAAAAAAATTTGCAAATTTGCGAAAATTGAATTTTTTATCGCAAAATCCAGTTTTATAGTAAAAATGTTTGCAAAAAAAAATTTGTCCAAAAAATGACAAATTATACATTTTTGAAAAGCCCTTGACCATGCCATTTCAAATATGCAAAAATTTTTGCAAAACTTTAAATAACCTGATTTTTAATCAAGAAAAACTAAAAATGTGCAAATTTCCTTTGACAGGTTGTTTGCAAAAAATTTGCAATTTTTTTTTCGCAAAACTTGTGCAATCCGTTTCCTTATGTCATAAGCTTTCCAAAAAGCTAAATTTTATCAAGATCTGACAAGTGAAAGTGGGTCAAAACAAAGATTTAGTTTGCTACAGGCAAAAGCAGTCATTCAGGCAGTGTGCCTGAGGACTCAGGCAGTTAGTATTAAAGCCCGGTTATAGGCCTAAAGGGAGGGCTTTGGGTATGTAGGAAAAGTCAGAAAATTTCAACAGCCTCAGACCAATACTTTTTGAGTTATGTAAAAAAAACTACAGGGGGGGATCAAATTGACCCCCCCCCCCCAGCGGGAATAGGGTTAAAAATCAAAACTTACAATGAAAAGTCGTCTTTTTTGTATTGATATAAAATCCTATAATAATAACCTCAACGCTAAATTCTACATATCAATTTTGTAAAGATACTGAAGTGACTTTTCATTGATTGACACCTTTACACTTTGAACTTTTGTCCAAATACAAGTTAATGATCAAAGTATTATAATCATAGAGAAAAGAATATATAGAGAGGAATTAAAAGAATCTCTCGGTATGAATTTTTTCAGTCCCTTTCAGTCTAAAAGGGAGTTCAAAGTGTACAAATCATGTAAATGTTCACATACTATATGCAGTAGAGTACATTAATACAGTATGTTCCCTAGACTATACATTTCAATTTCGAATTTTTAAAACTGTTAAATAAACTTTATAATGAATTAGATGAATAAAAACATCATTTGATTCATAGTTATTACGGACAATCATCATTTGTAAAGTGGAAGGCATAGAGTCTATGTGAAATGATCATTGGTCAATTATGAAACCAGCCTATTTCATAATTTGGTTTTCTTTTAACAATAATTTTAGATTTTCTATAAAATGATGTTCCAAGGCCCAACAGGTTATATAGCATAAATATGTGAAGTACACCTGCAGTATAGAAACAGTACAACAAAATGGCCGTTTTACACTTTTTTCCATTAAATTCTTCTCTATATATTCTATTCTCTATGATTATAATTGAAACATGATTACTTTCGATAGTGGTTTTTCATTAAATGAGACATCCTTTCCACAAACTCAGATTTTCTAGTCTCTGTATCTTTGCAACCTAATGTTTTAGACCATAGATATTTTTAAACATAAACGCTGTTAGATCAAATAATCTAAAGTTTACACCATCTGGTTACAATGTTTGAGTTTGCGACAAACACTCAATTTCTGTATTGTCAGAACTGAACACTTGCCAAGGCTCAGCTACATTTTGCCTAGTCACAATTTGCCTAGTCACATTTTGCCTAGTCACATTTTGCCTAGTCACATTTTGCCTAGTTCACTTTTGCCTAGGTAACATTTTGCCTAGGTAACTTTTTGCCTAGTTCAAGTTTGCCTAGTAACATTTTGCCTAGGGTAACATTTTGCCTAGGTAACGCAAGAGCATGTTTTTTGCCTATTGCTTTTTTTATAACAAATTTTGTCAAAAATTAAACATTTTTTTTAAGCTTAACCAGTTCAATTTTAATTAATTAAATGTTATAGGACAATTGAATTGTATCTTGTACAGGTTTTATCTTTATTTATCATTATTTATCTTATTTCTCAATCTTTTCTGTGGCTTTAATTTTCAGCAGCTTGTTGGTAAGGCCATGGTTATTCTTATCCCTGTAGTTGGGCTTACCCCACATGGTAAGCCATACAGTTATCATGGGAGCCATTTTCAATGTGTCTCTCGATCTGATTGGTTTACAGAAAATTGAATTATTAAAAAAAAATTGCGCAATTTTTGAAAAATAAATTGCGGATTTAAAAAAAAATTATCGGATTGTTGAAAATTTCTTTGTGAAAAAATTATAGACTAGGCGAAAAATTCGCTCCTTTGTTACTCTAGGCAAAATGTTACCCTAGGCAAAATGTTATTAGGCAAAATGTTACCTAGGCAAACTGTTACCTAGGCAAAATGTGACTAGGCAAGTTGTAACTAGGCAAAATGTGACTAGGCAAAATGTGACTAGGCAAATTGTGACTAGGCAAAATGTAGCTGAGCCCTTGCCAAGCTTTAACATCGATATCTCCCACGTTTTTGATCAGATAAAGGTTTTAAGCTGATACCGAGGCACATCTTTAAATGGACCGGGTGACTTGTAATTGCAGTCTCTTAAGTGGGTTGCTGCAGCGCACAAAACTTACCCGAATATTTGTTCCTCTGTATCTTACAGTAAACTGATTTTCTCTGTTGTTGTACCATACGTCCATTTTTGTTATTTAACTGTAAAAAGAAAAATCAAATGGCATATTAAATTATTTAAATGCTTTTTATGTGTCAATATTTTCCCCAGGATTTGGCATGTTTGTATATTTTTCGATATGCTCGGTCAATCAAACGAAAATACCAGCCTGTTATAATGCCGGATTATTTTTATTTATTTATAAACATTTATTCTATAGTGAGTTGAAACTGAACAGTTTCGTTTGTTCATTTACAAAATTTCACATTATTTTTTAAAATCCAATTATTGAGAGATTTTCTTTGTCTTGATATGATTCTTTATTCTATTCTACAGTGATAGCCAGAAAACTGTAGAATATGAAGACGACATTAAAGCGATACTGATGTGCGTTCGAGGTTGTTACAAAGCAAATAGTTGTACTAGTAAGTTTTTATAACATTTATTAAGGATATTAGTCTGTTTACATTGCACAATGTCTGCGTCTCATGTTCATTGGCCTATTTAAAGTCATAACTTGAGCCTAAAAGTCGACTTCCTATTCCAGAGTTTTCTGGTTTTTACTGTAGGCAAATACGCAGGCGTCTAAGAGATGTTTGTCAATGAACCTTTTCGTGAGTTTTTTTTAAAAATCGTTCGTTAATTAAAGTTATCGTTTTTTAAATCTTTTGAAAATTTGTTCGTTCACATAAGTGAAATAGTTTAAAATGTCTTCTTCCATAATTTGATAAGTTGTTTGATACTAATTAGAGACAATTAACATTTTTTGTATGACAGTTATATTATAGTAAAATTTACTTCACAGTATGAGTTAAACATTAAAAAAAAAAATTGCAAAAAGTCTTTAATTTATAATAAGTATGTGGAAAAAGACATTTAAAACTATTCACAAACTGTCATGTTTCTTAGGACACCCTGTACTTATCTTTAAGTATTGGCGAGATAAAAATGAAAAGTAGATACCGTGTTTTAACCTTTTATTTTAAAAATCGTTCGTTAACAAAGCTCAGGCCTCTTCTATAGTTTCTCCTGAGCGGGAAATTTAAAAGAATATCGTTGAACAAAACTACCGAGTTTCCTATTCCTACATTTGCGTATATTAACATCAAGAAGTAGATGATAAATTAAGAATATAAAACTAACCATATAAAATAAAATATATTGATATCTACAAAATTGTTTTACCCTATTCGTGAAACCGGGTTTCCGATACTGAGTTTCATGGCGTACCCTGTCTTAAGTTGTGGGCTCTGACCTTTCTGTAAATACCATTAAATCTCCATATACATAAAATATTTGACAATGAATAACGATTTAAAAGTTTCACGGATTTGAACGAATTTAACTTATATTTGTTCTACATATTTTAGATCTGAATTAATTGACATCAAATATTTTGAGTGTCATCTCAATATGTTTAATACTTACAAGCAAATATTTTAAATTTAGGTTCTGGTCTATTTTGGCGCCAAAATTCTACAGAGAGATGAGGAAGACGACGAAAACAAAGATTTAATTGAGCAGGTACTTTTAAAAAAATGATTTCTACAAAACATAATTGCTAAGTATGATATTGAAAATGCGTTTAAAGATATTTAAAGAATTTAATGAATTTATAGCCTGTTATATCGTGTCAGAATGTTATGTCATATTAACAAATGTTACACATTTTTTGGACAGAAAATTTTTCTTTTTGCGAGAAGGATTAAGCCTCTTAAGAATATATTTGGGTTCAATCTAAAAAGATGCCTTCGAGAAACGGAGAACAAGTAAGTCTACAAACTGTACCTTCTTAACAAAGCAGAAATAAAAACTACTAAAAAATATTACTTTGATTGAATTGTATTTATTTTCCGAATTTGAAATAATTTTTTGAAGAAAATTCTGAAAACAATTAAAATTTACAGAACTGTGCCATAGTATACACCTAATTTAATATTAAAGCATGACGGTTACATATATATTCACGTCTTTAATAAATTGCAACATACAGTGTAGATTTTTGAAATAATAAAAACAAATTTTAAAATAATCTATGCTTACAATTGTTTAAACCCTTCTGAATAATAAAATAGAAATTAAAAATGTTTAATCATCAAAACTTTGGCGTTTGTTGTGAGATTAAGGACGGAGCAGGAAAGGGTGGAGGGGGGAGGTGACGGTGGGGGAGGGGTGACGGGGGGGGAGTTAGGAAATAATCTGAACTTTTCGTTGATTCTTTTGCATTTTCTTCTCCAATTCATCTCTTTTCTCAAAATGTAAATATTTGCTCGAGAAATAAAACTTTTTTAATTAAAGATTTGATTCTCAGCAGGGGCGTATACAGAATTTAAGTGAGGGGGGTGCGTGATTTATTTCGGAACAAAAACATCCAGATTTAGGAACCAAAAGACGCGCCGCAGAACACTTTTTTAAGATAGATATTTTTTTCTGTATTAAGAAGCTATTCTGAAATCTCAGGGAGATCGTCAGGGGGTGCAAAGGCCCTGCCGCCCCCCCCCCCTGTATCCACCCCTGATTCTCAGTCAGGAATTATTTATTCCAATTATTCATCGTATTAGCTATTAATCGTCTAACTACATATCTCACTAGCCATTGATCGTCCAACTACTGATCTTACTAACCATCAATCGTCCAACTACTAATTAGCCATTGATTGTCCAACTTCTAATATCACCAGCCATTGATCGTCCAAAGCTACTGATCTCACTAATCAGTGATCGTCCAACTACTGATCTCACTAGCCGTTGATCGACCAATTATTCATCTCATTAGCCATTGATCGTCCAACTTCTGATCCCACTAGCCATTGATCGTCCAACTAATGAGCTCACTAGCCATTGATTGTCCAACAACTGATCTCACTAATCAGTGATCTTTCAACTACTGATCTCACTATCCTTTGATCGTCAAACTGATGATCTCAAAAACCATTGATCGTCCAACTAAAATCCTTATCTAAGGAGCACAGAATGTTTGTAAATTCTTCTTAAAATAGAAAAAAATTTAAGAATTTCCGATAAATTTTCTTTTCATTGAGTTTTCCGATACTCTTTTCATCCTGCAGATTATCTTCCATCTGTTTACTTTTGAGAATCCCAAGACACCAGTTCTTTATCTGATACAGGGTGTCCTACGAAACATGACAGTTGGTTAATATTTTAAAATGTCTTCTTCCATAATTTGTGAAGTTGTTTGATACCAAAGAGAATATTTAAAAATATTGTATGAGAGTCATCTTGTAGTAAAATTAATTTCAAAGTCAAATAAATTTGAGTAAATGATTTGTTAACGAAATAAACTGCAAAAAGTCTTGAATATTTAACACATTATATGGAAGAAGACATTTAAAAATATTCACCAACGGTCATGTTTCGTGGTATCAGAAAAAATTTCAGGGAATATATCTTTTAACCATTAAATATGTGTGTAAAGCCTTGAGTATAGAGATCCCCCCCCCAAAAAAAAAATGTCATTTGATTAAAAGATGGTCCTGAATTAAGTCCAGACTTAACTTTAGATCCCGTTCTAATTGTTTGAAGAGTTTTCGGTTTTGCTAATTACAACTTTTGTTGGGCTTTGTATTTGAAATTTTTAAGTCTCTAAAACATTTTTGTGTGGATTTTTGATAAGAGATAAAAATATGATGTTCCGATACAGGCAGGATACTAGGTTTTCGGTACGTTAAGCAGTCATTCGTAGTACACTGACCGAAATAAAAGTTAGTTTTACATGTGCTAGAAAGGTTTAAGAACGTTTTCAAAAAAAACCTATTTTTGACAGATTTATTGGACACATACTTTTTTCAAGAGCTTTCAAATAAAAAAATCACACAAAATACTTATTTTAATTTTTGGGGGCTTAAACTGACAAATTCAAAGATTAAGAATGTACAAATATAAAGGTTTGATATTTTGTATCATGTATTCATTAGTCTCCTTTATTGATCGGACTCCCATTTGTATCTAAAACGAACTGTATTTGACATTGAATAAAATGTTCTTAACATTTATTGGGCCAGATCTTCTATTTAATTTTCCTTGTAAATTTGAGTTTTACCATCTTGTGTAGTCTTTTCTATTGTAACACATTTTATGTAAATTATTTTAAAAATGGATTTTTTAAATCATCGATTGTTTTGTTAGTATATTATAGTTTACATTTGTTCTGAAGTAAAAACGTTTCAAAAATAAGATAGATAAGGAAAATAAAATGGAGGGCTAGGTTAACATTTAAAAGCAGCAAAGCGACTAGTTTTTCCATTCTTTTCTTGATCAAAGTTTGAATAATTTTGATAATTTTTCAAAATTGTAAACACAATAAAATTTGAATTATCTTCATTGTATTGCTTACTCAGATGTTACTCAGATGATAGCCGTTTAATTTTGTTTTAAAATGATGCTCTTTTATTAAACTATATACCGTGCATTGTAAAATGTTCTTTTAAAGCTCTCAGTTTTAATTTCACAATGCAACCCATCCGCTTAATTTTGTTTAAGATAATTCGTTCTGAACTTGTTGTTGCCTCAATAGTTTAATTATAAAGTTTTAACAACATCTTGCGAAAATAAAATGCAGTGTGTCTCAATAAACGGTTTCAAAATTAAGAAATTTATGAGATAATAAGGTTGCATGCTCTCAGGCAAAAATTTATACGAAATTATTCAATATAACTTCTAATGAACTAAATCTAGTGACAAGTGCTGCGTAACTCATATATGTAGTTCAGTAAAATTAAATTTCAAGGCGGTGCAACATTTTAAATTTGATCTATATAGTCGCAAAAATTGATTCACAGTTTCATAGCACTCTGTGATTAAAAAATCGCTACATTCGTTTCCATAATTCTAGAATCACTAAAATGTGCTTTGCTTGTTTTTACCTGGAAAAAGAATTCAATTCTGTTAAATATTCTTTTAAATATTAGCTTACTGAACTGATCCCAATATTGGCATGAGTATCAAGCTTTGTCGTTTTCGAAAGAAACGACCTCCTTTCTCTGGATTATAAATTACGTATTTATTTTCCTATTCAATTCTTTATTTGAGATTTTCTTTTTTCAAGTTTACAGTTTAGATTGCTGAATCAAATACATATAAAGTAAACACAAAAAGTGTACACATTCCTACATGCCCTCAGTTTCATGTACAAAAACAAATAGTCTACCTATGATATTTTTATACTTCGATTGCAGTTTGATCTAACAGAATTCATAGTTTTAAGTTCTAAGTGTACAAATAACTTTGTGTTTCAAAGATATGGTGATTAGAAAATCAAAGTTTGCGGCAAAAACTGAATTCATTGACCAAAGTTATGTTTTTAAAATATATTGTTTATTATTCTATCATAGATTCTATCGGACATACAAACAGACACACAAACACCCAAATGTTACTTCCATTTATGTAGAAGATACAAAGTCTTTGGACATAAGTTTTGAAGCATTATAGTTTTTATAAATATTTGATACAATCACTGGTTGACATTAGTTTGTTATTAAATATTTTGCTTTTTCAAACATGATTTTAGAAATCATGGTGAGAATGTTAGGGATATCTTACAAACTTTTATATGTAATTGCAAAAAAGTACTTTTAAACATTCTTTTATTTTTCCAGGATTTCTTGAGCGAAGAGATAACGAATGATGAGACGAATGAAGATGAGCAGGGGAGTTTTATCAGTCCTGAAATATCATTTATCGAGTTGGGATTCCCATCATTTACTAACCAACAAAGGAAAAAGCAGAATAAAGAAAAATTGTCCGAAAATTCAATTTTAAAGTTTTGAAGAATGGTCGTACTTTCCTTGAGATTGATTCTGCATAGAAAACAGTTTAGTTCCCCACATGTTTTACTGCAGGCAAGACCACAAACTTTAGATATTACAGATGTCAACGTTTTGATTTTTCTAGATTTTAGCTTTCGTTACGATAGTGTACATCAAAAGTATAAACGTTTGAAACGTTACGTTGCACATTATGCAATTTTATGGCATAGAGAAAAGTTACGTAAGGAATGTTCTGCACTTCAATATCTTATAAAATGTTAAGCTTTTTAAAATGTTAGTGAAAAAAGTAAGCTCTTTTACGCTTTGGCAATTCCTGTCAATTTTTTTGTTACACTATTTCACAACTGGCAATCAAAAGAAAGATATGACAAAATTTTCTATGCGCTACGTATGTAAATGTATGTAAAATGTTCAGGCCTGAACGTTTCTTATGTTACACTTCATTAAGTATTATTGTTTCTAAATGAAATCATAACAAGATTTTTTCCGTGATAATTGCATTCCTACTTTTGCATTTTTCATCCTAAAACATAAACCATGCTAAACTAATTAGTGTCGTTAATCGCTTTTTTACTCACCATGTATGTTGCTGCTGTATTGCTAACCTTTTTAGAGAATGTGTAGAAGAATGCAGCAATGTAAAGATGTTATACTTTTTTATTTGAACGATTTTTTAATTTTGTGAATGAACGTTTTTAGCATTAGACTTTAACTGAAGGGTTTGTCTTACAGGGGCTAGAGACGTAATTTCAAGTGACCTTCCATTTATGGTGTGACATGTCTGGCTTACATTTACAAGATAGGAAAACGTTTGTATTTTCATATCATAAATCAGATAAAGGTATACACGTTACCATTGGGAATCGAGCATAGCCCATTTAGATGGAGGATCACTTGAAATTATTATAGTGTATCTGACGAGCTTACAAAAAAAGACCTTTTTCATAAAATTTGTTAAGATTTGGCAATGCAACCCACTTTTGGATGTGGAACAGTAGTTCTAAATTATTTTACTTTAATTTAGGTTTAATTTTCACCATTTTTTACTCAAAGCAAATTGCAAACTGACCCTCCGGTGGATTTTCTTCTATATAACAGAATTCATAGTTTTTTGCTATTAGTAGATTATTTGCTTTATAAGAGAAAAATGCATATATATAAAATTTCTTGAATGTCGTCTTCCTTTTCCAGAGTTTTAGTAGGTTTCATTAAACAAAGGCAAATCGTAAACTTTTAATGTCCAAGATGCATTTATAAGATTTGAATTTTCACTAATAGCAAGTTACACAAAAACTCGCTTACACCTTAGAAAGGAACTAAGTTTTTGTCCAATATACTAATCCCTTTATCTTTCAATCCTGATGGTTTAAACTTTTGATATCTCAATGTCAATGGTCTACAACATCTGGTTGCAAAGATATAGTAAATGAAAATTAGAGTTTTTGGCATAAACTCATTTCATTTAAACTTGAAATGAAAACCATTAGTCTTTGCCGTCATATTCACCAGTCATCTCTTACATTGATAGATTAGAGACGATTTGAAATGTTTTGATGGCAGAATTATTGTTACACATTTGAAATTAAAACTCAGCCCTCATAGCCTAAAGTTTAATGATCAATATTTTCATTAGACATATATCTAACGTTAGACTATCAATTTCGTATTCAGAGGAAAGTTATGAAATGTTTTGATTTACAAAATATCTTTTTAACTGATATACGTTACTTTATTGAAATTTATACTTCAAAACGATTTCATTAACAGAAATGCATTTTTTCAGTTATACAATTTATAAGTTGAACTTTAAAATAGAAATCCTTTCATTACGATATGCAATCAAATCACAATTAATTTTTCTAAAGTTAGACTTTCAAGCTCCCCATGGAAACAAAACGTTTTCTTCGCGTTATGGTCAAACAAGGTGTAGATATTAGAAAAAATAACGTTACGTTAACAAAAAACGCTAATGTTGGGGTTATGTTCCTCTAACGTTAACGTTAGGTATAAGCTCCTATAACATTAACGTTCAACATTCACGTTATATAGAATATATCCAAACGTTACATATTATTGCAACGTAACATACAGAAACGTACATTTTACGTTATGTTACACTATATTTGACATCTCTGCTATACACAAACTGCTATATGAAGTCCTATAGTCGAACCGTCACGGCATGCTATATTATTTTTCATAACTGCCCTCTACAGCCCCTTTTTGCACATAACACCCATACAGGGGTTAAATTTTATAATTTAAAAAAATACTCTAACTTTAAACATAAAACATAAAATCTATGAATTTGATCTTTTTTTTAAAGGTTTGGTATATTCGTATCCAAAGGATAAATATCCCTGAAGTCTGCTAATTGTTCGTGCACTCCAGTTATACACAATAAAACATGCTGTAGAAAATATCGCATATTTTAGCCGTTAGTACATCTCTGTACTCTCTTATATCTAGTCAAGACAAAACTTACCTTTTCAACGATTATCGAACTAACAAAAGCATTTCGAAGTAACACAGATTTTGAGCGAAATTATGCACATTAAAAAAAAATATAGAATTGACAATTGATTTAAGATAAACTGCCATGGTTTTACTTAAAAAGCTTGTTTGTATTATATTATATATTGTATTGTATTATAAATGTTTGTATTATAACAGATCTTACCTGAAAGATGCATACAAAAATATTCTAAATATTGTTATACAAAATTGGCCAAACGCTCGACCTTATACAGAGGTAGGAAAAATAAGAACTGATCGTTCCGTTAGTAATTTCTTTATTCCGTAAAGTTACGGACGACAGTTAACAATATATTTTTTTGTTATCACAGTTTAAAGGAAAATCTTTTAGAGATCGGTAAGGCGTCAGCAGTTAATGAGCTGTTAAGGATTATCACATGTAAAAATAGCAACAACAAAATTAGAAGACATAATATTCAAAACGTCGCAAACACATAAATGTTGTTTTGTAGAGGATCTATTTTCTCCTTAAATCCGAACTAGGAATCCTGAAGGATCAGGAAAAGGAGAAAATACAGGAAAATAAATTTGCTGGCGTAGTTCTCCAACCTGCTTCGGATCAACATGTTCCTCCCGCAGAGCAGTTTATTACCTGCAAATCTGTCTTAACTAATCTACTTCTGAAAGTTATTGTTTTAAGTTTTAAGCATAGTTGAATGAACGGTAGTTGTCATTTTAAGAAAAACCTTTATTTTTTCCCCTTTTTTCATGAACAGTCATTTTCGTTTTAGCCGTTCCTTAAAAAATTGTCCGTTAATTTTAAAAAAAGCATGCCGTAATATACTTACTTAGCCCAGCCTATACTCACTCCCATACTTATTTAAAGTTTAAGTTCACTTAGATTTTAAAACAGTAGTGGTCTTATATAGAAATATATATGAGGGAAGCGCTTTTATTATATAGATGAACTTATTTGCTTTTTAACTCAGTTTAATCATTGAAGAAGTCGACGCAGTCGCGAAGAGACCAAATCTGAAAATTCCAGGTAATAATAATTCAAAATTATGAATATTGTTTCTTTAATTCCAACATTTTTAGGAGTGTGTGCAGTTTTAAACCATCTGAATCTAGTGCGGGACACGTATATTAATGTTCGCACTTAAACCAGTACCTATGTCATCAAATTAATTGTGTATAATAAACTAAAGTTAAAATAAAGAATTTAAAAACTATTCTACAGGTGTCTGATAAAACATTAAGATTGATCAGAGATGACATTAAGATTGTTTAATTGTTGATTGCTATCAATAACAACAGCTGGATCAACTATCAACTTTTGAACTTCCCAATATATGGTTTATCTTTCATAAACCTTGTAATAATATGTCTTCGTTGAATTTACGATTGTTATTTATGATCAAATATGACATGTTTAGTGGGACCCTAATTATCTTGGAAACCTGTATCCTGTATATAACAATTATTCTGTAAACCTGTATCCTGTATATAACAATTATTTTGTAAACCTGTATCCTGTATATAACAATTATTTTGTAAACCTGTGTCCTGTATATAACAATTATCTTGTAAACCTGTATCCTCTACATACCAATTATCTTGTAAACCTGTATCCTGTACATAAAAATTATCTTGTAAACCTGTATACAGTACATAACAATTATTTTGTAAACCTAAATCCTGTACATAACAATTATCTTGTAAACCTGTATCCTGTACTTAATGATTATCTTGTAAACCTGTATCCTGTACTCAACAATTAAATTGTAAACCTGTATCCTGTGCATAATAATTATCTTCTAAACCTGTATTCTATACTCAACAATTATCTTGTAAACCTGTATCCTATACTTCACAAATATCTTGTAAACCTGTATCCTGTACATAACAATTATCTTATAAACCTGCATTTTATACTCAACAATTATCTTGTAAACCTGTATTCTATACTTCACAATTATTTTGTAAACCTGTATCCCTTGCACAACAATTATATCGTAAACCTGTATCCTATACTCAACAATTGTCTAGTAAACCTGTATTCTATACTCAGCAATTATCTAGCAAACCTGTATCCAATACTCAACTATTGTCTAGTAAAACCTGTATCCTACACACAACAATTATCAGTAAACCTGTATCCTATATTCAACAATAATTTAGCAAATCCAGTAAAATTAGCCAGAAAACAAGTATCCTGTATCCTATACTTAACGATTATCTTGTAAACCTGTATCCTGTATCCTATACTTAACAATTATATTGAAAACCTGTATCCTTAAACTTAATTACCTTGAAAACCTGCATATCCTTAAACTTAACAATTATCTTGTAAACCTGTATCCTATATTTAACAATTATCTTGAAAACCTGTATCCTATACTCAACAATTATCTTGTAAACCTGTATCCTATACTCAACAATTATCTTGAAAACCTGTATCCTATACTCAACAATTATCTTGAAAACCTGTATCCTATACTCAACAATTATCTTGTAAACCTGTATCCTATACTAAACAATTATCTTGTAAACCTGTATCCTATACTCAACAATCATTTTGTAAAGCTGTATCCTATACTCAACAATCATCTTGTAAAGCTGTATGCTATACTCAACAATCATCTTGTAAAGCTGTATCCAATACTCAACAATTATCTTGTAAACCTGTATCCTATACTCAACAATTATCTTGTAAAGCTGTATCCAATACTCAACAATTATCTTGTAAAGCTGTATCCAATACTCAACAATTATCTTGTAAAGCTGTATCC